ATTTATTTCTAAGGTTAGGTTGAGACTTATAAATAATATCTTCACTCAATTATTTTATAAATACATATTTAATTGAATAAGAATTACAATCAATTTGCTTCTTTTTTAAGCTTCTCTCTTTTGAATACCTAATTCTCTCTCTTTTTTTTCTCTCTACTCTCTCTCTCTCTTTTATATTCTCTTCTTGTAACATCTTAAGTTTTCTCATTAGTAATTATTAGTGTTTTCAAGGATAATTTGGTCAATTTAGATAAATTTTTGATTTAGCAAGGGTTATGGAGACTAATATAATTTTTGAATCCTTGAACAACCTTAGAAAAGGACTAGATCGATGTTCAAGAGGGCCATGGCACGGAAGAGAGTTTAAAATTTTGTAGGGTATTATGTGCAAAATTAGCACTTATTAGATCGGGAATTAGACTTAAAAAACAAAAGAGAGAAAGTGAGATAACGAGAGAGCGACGGAGGAGAGCTTATGGTCTGTTAGGGCACAATCTTTAGGCTACTTTGAGGGCATTTATAGCTTGAATTACTATTGTATAAGTTGTACATTCCCTCTTCTCCCTCTTTTATGCAAAATTCTAAATATTTAGGGTAATAGAGGCTTTGATTTCTGTTCCTTTAGGTTCAGACCAAACCTATTGGTTTATTTAAGATCTTGGGGAGTTAAATCAAGCTTCTAACCTTAAGTTTATGAGTTTTAAGGTGACTGAGAATTTTTGATAAAGGTTTGGACGAACCTTAAGTATAATTTGAAGATTTTGAGACAATGTGAGATATTGATTAGCGAATTTAGTGTGTTGGAATGTTTATAGGATGGTTAGAATGCGTGGGAATGGTTGGTATTGTTAGAAAAAGAATTTGAGTATTTTAGACACTTAAAACCTAGAGAATTTGGAGTTATCCGGAGTAATAATTGACAATTATCACTTATTAGTATAGATTAAGCATTTCTCGGGACATATCGTGTGCATAGAATGTGTGAAGCTAATGTTGAGCCATGGTAACCTTTTTTGTATGACAAAGGATTAAGGTAACCACATAGTTTATTATGTTTATTAACTATTATAACTATGTAGAAGTAATTACTAATGATAAAGTTGTGGTTTTGAAGAGTTTTATGTATAGTTTGACATTATAAATGATTTTAGCATGAAAAATTAATTTGTAAATAGTTATTGATTTTAATTGAAATGTATATACCATGTATATAAGTTTGTAATGTGAAAATGTGATGAAAAGTAGTAAAAATTATAAAAGAGCATGATCGTAGGGGACGGGGGTTTACCCGAGATATGTAGGGATATGTGTGTGTGGAGATATGTGAGTGAAAAATCCATATAGTTGACCTGACACCATGGGACATCCGATGCAGCATTATATAGGACTGTTACCATGAGACATCCGAGTAGTCTGGCAACTCCCTAATACTTGTTAAGGTGCGGTTCGGAGTCAATGACGCCTCTATCATAAGTGTGTGAAGAGGGAAAAATCATAGTCCATGGGCAGGTTAGATTATCTTTGGTCAGGTATTTCTACCATCGAAAGTGTACTCGGGTCAATAAGTGGTTGATCCAGTCGGGCCTATGGTTTCATGTCAAGGAGCATTGGAGGTTTGGTGATTAGATGATCATGCTAGTGTGAAACTATGTGTTTTGTTGTGAAAAGATACACTCATCTCATAATTATAGTATACTTGTTATTACTATAGTTTTGATACTTTTTCATGGTTATTTGCAGTAATAAAAATTTGATAAACTATATAAGTTACTGAGATGTTTATTTTACCCCGTGGTTAAATTTTACAAGTGAGGGCTCCGGTAAGAGTAAGGGAAAGGAAGGGGCATTTGAAGAGTGAAGAGTATTATTGTATAGCTCTTCCTTTCTCTTTTTGGGTACTATAATGAATATTGTCACTAAATATTGTCAACTTAGAAACATGACATTATTTGGATATCACTTATATGAATTTGTGATAAGTGTGTATATCTTGATCCAAGATTGATGTTGTGGATTAAGTGTGTGCTTGGCCAAGTTATATTTACAAGTGATATATATTTAAAGTGTTTTGAGTGTTAAAATGACCAATTAATTTGTGTGTTAAATTTTATCCGCCCCATTGTGTTATTGTCAATTGAAAATTTGGTGATCATTTTGATCATGATTACTCAATTGTGTGTTATGATTGAATTATTATGTGGTGTGTGGTTCATTTGAGGTAGTTAAGGTGTCTATGGGGCTAATCGCATTTGGTATTGTGAGTTGGACACCATGGTGTGTGTTTTGTTGTGAAAACAAATCATTTTAGGTTCGAATGTCCATCTTTTAAATGGATGGTTGTTTGAGTGTGGAACCAGAGCCATTAGCTAGAGGGCTCAAAGAGCTTTGTGTGGACACTTGAATCGCTCAAATCGGATGTCGAATGGCGAAACGGCGAGCTTTGAAAGTTCAGAGAGAAGCCATGATAGCAATCTGTCATAACAGCAGGTGAAAGCCACGATGTGTGGTTGTTGCGCCACGGTGTAAAAAGCCTTCAAGGGATTCGTCCCTCTATGCCATTCGCCGTGGCGGACGAACAAATATTTACTGAAAAATGACGTTTTTAGCCTAATTTTGACATGATGTGTTTCCCATACTTTTATATTTGTTCTAAATTAATTTTTAACTATGATTTGAGCACAAACAATATTTTAAAATAAAAAGATTTTTTTTTTGAATCCCAATGTTTTAAACTAATTATCTTTAAACTCTTGAGTTGTGGTAATTCCTTTAGAGGATTTTTATTTGATTCTAATTATCACAACGATGTGTGAGTATTATTCTGATAATATCAAGGTGGAGATTATACTTCTCCATTTCCCCTTCCCCATTCTTCATCAAAAGCCCATAGTTGAGCGTTGCACGCTTTACTTGCTTTACCATGGCAAGACGATGGTCTGGGGAGTCAATGCCGTGAAGATCGACAGGGTATTTTGTCATTGATGAAGGGATAAGGTTTGAGGGTGGCTAAAAAGAAGAAAGAAGTTGCAAAGGAGAGGGAGAGAAAGAAGAGCGTATGCAGCTTTGCAATTTTTCCTGCAAATCATGAGTTTTCTAGTAAATTCACAAGAAATTTTATTTATATTTAAATCCCTTGAGATCTCCTAGCTATTTGCATAGTTGATAGGATTTTTGGATAGTTAAAATACTTGTAAGGGACTTTTTAGTCATTTTCTCAGCAAAAAAAAAAAAACCATCATCAAAAGCGCCCCGTAGTTTCAGGTCCAAGAAAAAAGAAACAAAAAAAAAGCCCATATTCAACTAATTCAGGACCCAATACACACAACGCCACACACACTACTTCACTCTTCAGAGCCTCATCAATTGAGGGCACAGTACCAACCTAATAACTAATTCAAGTTCACCTCAACTCAAGATGCTGCACCACAACGTCTAAGTGTGTGTTTGGATTAAAAAATTTATAATTGAAGTTAAGATTCAACTGAAGTTAGCAAACTGAAGTTAGAAGAAAAGTCAGTTAATGTAACGTAATTTATGTTTGGATACTTTTTTTTTTTAAAAGTTAGTTAGATAAATTGAAACTTGTTTGGGTGATTTGATTCAAAAGTCAGTTGAGATGTTTAATGACAAAAATAAGTATGAATTTTTTTATCTTAAATATTAAATTTTAAATAAGCATGTTTATATTTTTTGATTAACTAATAAGTAAAAAATATTAAAATTAAAATCACAACTAATAAGTAAAATATTTTAAATATTCAATCATGAAAATAAAAAATAAATTAATATTCAATTGATATTTAATTATATCACAAACACGCTGCATCTGTCTTGACGATTTGGGTAGATTTGACAAGGATGCCTCACCAATATTGATATCTTACTCATGGACATCTACACTTTCATCTTCAGATTGCATGAATTGCTCATCAGTAATTAAATTTCTCCTAATAAAGTTATGTATTTCCATTGTTACACAAATAATTTGAACTTGTATTTTATATCTAAATTTATGCATTTTTCATATAATTGCAAATCGATTCTTCCACATTCCAAAAGTTCTTTTTATAGTGCATTTCAAATTTGAATGATAATACTTCCACACTCCAAAAATAAATGTAATGGCTAGGAAATTTAGGAATTTTAAAAAATGTGATAAATAATTTTTTTAGCAAAAAAGAATTAAAATAAAATGATCAATTGTTCTTGTTGGTATTTTGACTTAAATGTTAGTGAAATTCATAATATGGACATGCAATGATTTAGAAAATAATTATGATATTAAAATTATTAATAACATGTTTTGATGATATTTTTATAACTTTATAATTTTAAAATAGATGCAACAAGAAGTTATTGGCTTGATGGAGTCTGTACTTGTCGCCTACATATTGTCGAGTCTCCGCAGCGATAAGGGATAAATTTTATTCTGCTCTAAACACTACAAAATTACCAAAATACCCTTTTTAGAAAAAAAAATCAGATTTTCTCCCCTATTTTCCATTTCATTCGTGTTCTGCATATAAAAAAAAAACAGGGAGTAGGAGACAGCTTCAAAAAAACCCTTCTCAATTCTTCTCTTCCGTTCCCAATCGAAGTGATTTTCCAACCATTCTTCCTCCTCCATCATCCTCTATCTCCTTTGTTCTTCTTGTTCGTTTTGTTGACAAGCGCGTGCGCAGAGGAGTTCAGTTTGTCGCTATTAAGTTCATGGATTCTTCTTCTTTCTCCATCATATTTTGTAGCTGATTCCTCCTAGCTTTTTTTAAAACTAGTCGACGCTGCTATGTGTGTGGGTGTGCACGCAAAGCTTCCATTGTTCTTCCTTCGCATCGCAAATCGTCCACCGTAGCTGGTCTCTGTTTGGTTGATATTTTTTTTTCCTGTTCTCTCATGCTAGATATGCTAAAGGCAAAGCTCAAGTTGATAAAAGACAAGAGAGAGAAAGCATAAAAATTTAAAATGCATTTAATGCTTCCAACGAGCAGCAACGCTAACGCTGAAAACCAAAAGCCAGGTTAGTGGGCTTCTTGAATAATGCTCGTTTGCATGCTAATTGAGGTTGAAAACTTATGATAATCCAAACAAGATTTTTGTAACATTTTGCATCCTAACTTCAGTTTGACCCACTCTAACTAAGGTTAGAATGCAATCCAAACATGCTCTAAATTTTCAGTCCCAATTCAGTGTCAAGAGTGGCGCAGAACAAGGTCACGGAGAATCCAATCTGAAACCGAAGCTTCGAGAAGGAACGGAATCAATGAGACTGTAATGAGCTCTTTGAAGGAAAAAGATACTATATTGGAGAATGTCCGTTTTGGAATTTGCATCTTGTGGGACTTCAGGATCAGAGTGGCAAAAGGGAGCTCATATGTCTTCGGAGTTTGACAGTCTTTTATAGTCTGTCCAAGATATTTTTGCTTCATACGTCAATTCTAAACTGACAACTATAACTTCAAATTCAGAATGCATGGTAACCACAGTTTCAAAATCTTGCGGTTCCAACCTTAAACATCTTGACCTTCCCATGGAAAAAAAAAAAAAAAAAACCCAAAATATCATGTTGGATGTTCTCCAATATCTATTTTTGCCATGATTTTCATTCATTAAATCATCCTGGCATATCTATTCTTGAATGAGAAATAAACACGACAGTAAAAGTGGTTCATAATAGCATTTCTTACTGAGATTGACAAAATTAAAGCCGTGCCCGGACCTCCTCATTTCCAATAACCTTCTTCAACAGGACAACAATCTAATAGTAACAGGATATCAAATGGTCTTCCACCAGACTTTATAGGCTAATCATGGCATACATATAAAAGAATGTGTTCAACCACGGAAAATACACAGTCACTGAAAAGACAACACTCCTCAGTTGATGCTACTAATTAACAATCAACAATGTCTCACCTCCCAGCTTTTCATCTTCTGGGAACCACGAGTTTTATAACTCCAAGTAGGGTGAAATGGCACCTCGTACGTTAAAATGAAACTCGGGCGAGTATACACATTTAGGAATTGAATAAAAAGAGTGATAATACCGCTAAGGAATTGAGCTTCACAAAGCTGAAATCTTGGATCAGTTTTTGCCCAAGGGTCCAGGCGGCGATAACTAGGGACAAAATTAATAAAAGTTTAGCAGCGAAAAACAGCAGAGAAAAAGTGAGGGAACACAAAGAAAGTGATGACAGATCCGAACTTACCCTCCAGAAGACCTTGGCATGAAGAAGACCGTAAGGAACAGGACCAAATTGTCTTGAATCCCTGGAGTTATATATGTTATCTCCCTGAACCCAAACGTGTCCCTTGGGAACCTAAGCAAGTGAGGCAAACACTCAGCAAACAAAATCTCCATAACCATTCACGAAGATACAAATCAACAGATGTCAAAATCACTCTTAAAATAGTCCTTCTGAATCATCTGGAACTGAAAAATGTACATGGGAAATCAACGGTACCACTACAGTCTCGCATTTATCACTATACTTAGGATCGACGAGAAATGTGACACCATCACCCTCCAATCCAAGCAAGCGCTTGCACATCAACTTTCGAGGGTTTTCAGGTGACCGCACAATAACAATATCCCCGCGCTCAACTTTACCAAAACGTGGGGAGTTCCTTTCGGTCAATATAATGGTAGGCATCGGACCCATTACCGGAAGCATGCTAGGACCATAGATCTGCACATTCGAACCAGCTCTTTTGATGTCTTTATCTTGAAATAGAATGTAAACATAAGGGTTTCTTTTCTTTTCTTTTCTTTTCTTTTTTTTTGGGGTGGGAGGGCTTACCTGAATAGGATCCACGAGATAGGTGGCGGTGACATGAAGACAACAGGATAATTTGACAAGAGAGAATGCCATATCCCGTAGTTCTCTGGCAGAGAGTCCAAATTGCTTCAAATTTCTCCAAAACATTACTGCCAGCTTTGTTTGTTCACCATCAACAACAACAGAACACGCAAACTTGGGGCTGACGCCGGTGTCGGAAGCACAGGGACCACGGGAAGAGGATCCGCTCTACCCAGTGGGCGAGGGATTTGTTAATGCCTTTCAATTCTCTGCTGCCAGACCAGACGCCAGGCTCAGACGTGAAGAAGACGAAGGTGAGAGCGAGAGGCGACGACTCGGACGAGAAGAGGAGAGAGCGACGACGTCGTGAAGAGTAGGTGAGGATGACGGCGCCGTGCAGAAGAATGTGGCGGCGGCGATCTGGGTTCGAACAGAGTTCGAGAGACGAGTTGAGCTCTTCTTCGGCGTTGGAACTTTGGGCTTTGGCCCTGGCCCCTGCGTGACAGCTGGCTGGTTTTTCGTGAAAACAAAACGGCTGTCTTTTAATTTTCAAATTTGACTCTATCAGCTACTATTCTTTAATTTTAAATATCAAATGAATAGATCCAATTTATTAATTTTTAATTTATGTGTATTTAATAAAAATAATTTTTTAATTTTTGGTAAAAAATAATTTTTTAATTGACTAATTAAAAAATATAAGATAGCTTGATTATTAGAAGGAATAAGTATATCATAATTTAATAAGTAACATTAATTATTAATTAATAAATATCTATAAAACAATGGTATTATAATATGTTTTTCATTTATAATTAGTATGTAAATTGAACTCTAAAATATAGATTCAGAAGCAATTTGAACTATAAACTTTTAAAAAATATATTTTAAAACTTAAACAATTCAAATTAGAATAATTTCACTTTATCGTTACATTTAAACAAATGCTTGCTATTTTTAAAAAAATTGAAATTTAATGTGCAATTTTTATTAAATTTTACTTCCCTTTCTCTCCTACCCTCATTTTAAAAAAATCACACAAACAGCCCCATTTTTTTAAAAAAATTAATGGATATTTATTTAAATTTAATGATAAGATAAAATTATTTTAATTTTAATTATTTATTATTCAAAATATGTATTGTTTAAAGGTGTAACATTCAAATCGCTGTTGAATCTAGAGTTCAAAATTTAAATTACATATCAATCTTTTCAATTAAAACTATTCTTATTAGTTACCCAATCATGTGATAATATTTTAAAATTTTCTTATCATTATTATTAAATATCCTCACTTATTATTAAAAAAACACAAAAAAACCGAAGGAAGGAAAAAAACTTTTAACTCATTCTATTCGTTATTAGTTTTTTTATACTCATTTTTTTGTTGTTGTAGAGTATGTTTTCATGATTCCGGCCAATAATATATTAGCCGTCTTTTACAACATCTGCATTGATAATATTTAATTTCAACTTTTTTTTGTTCCAGCATATTTAATATTCAACTATTACTTCTTTCATTTAAAAATATAAAATATTTTTATTGAATCTCATCTCTTAATAAAATAGTTATATACTTTTTAATTGACCATATTTTTTTATATTTACCTCTATTAAACACCTTATAATAAAATATAAAGTCATTATTAATAGGGGTAAATTTAAAAAAAAGACAATAATTACATTCCGAAAGATTTAAAATACCTTACATTTTTTAACATCCAACTCTTTAAAAAATACTTTACATTTTTAAATGGAAGAAGTATTAATTATTGTAATTTTAATTAGATATTTTTTTCTTGATGATTATCATATTTGTAATATTTTTGAACAATAAAATTAAATTACTAAATATTTAACTACAATTTATTTTTAATCTCCCCGCACGTCATATGGAGAAGTAAAGTCTAATTGATTAGTAGCACAAGGTACAATTTAAAGAATTGAAACTCCCAAAGATCATATTTGCAGCATACAAACTAACATTAATGCTATGTTTGGGATGGTGGAAATAATTTTGATGGAAGTAGAAATGGATATGAAAGTGAGTATAAGTTTTAAAAATATATTTAGTTTGTTCATGAAATTTTAGATATTATTTTTATTCAATATTAATCTTAAAAACAAGAAACGACTAAAATGCCCTCTTATCAAAAAAAAAATGCCTCGCCACAGATCAAAGGACCATCGTGTAACTCACATTGATGAAGAAGACAAAGCATACAACGGAAGAGATGCAAGCAATTCATCCTCTCCAGTTTTCTCATCGAAAATTTTGTCATAAAAAAAAAGCTCCTACCCATAGATTTTAGAAGCAACCATCATGAACCATCTTCGCTAGACTTCCACCAGAAAAGAAGAAGAAGACCAAATGATGATGCTGTACTAACTAAAGAAGCTCAGGGTCTAGCTCGAAGAAGATTGTCGCTGGAACCATGTTACTGACTTCATCATCCTTGCTCTTCAATTGCATGGGTAGCCTTCATCATTATCATTGCAACATCCTTCATCCCACCCTCCTGAGGGTCTTTTGGATTGAACCCACTCATATCACTGCAGCGGAGGCTGGCTTTCCTAAAGTGATACTCAGGTTATTTCTCACCCCACCCTCACGGGAGTCTTTTGGAACCTTCCTAAATTCGAACCTCCAACCTCTACCACCTTAAGGAAGTTGATGCTAAGTCTAGTACCATTGAATCACTTTGTAACATCCTAAATTTTATTTGGCCTTAGATTGTTGATAGCCACTATAAAGACTATAAAATTAAGTAATCACTTAGTAATAGTTGTTTGTGTGTGTGTGTGTTATATATATATATATATATATATATATAATATTAAAAGTTAAATAATCTTGTTAAGTTTTAAAAGATATTATAAAGATAATAATAATTAATGAAAAGAAAATTAGTTTGAGTTTATAAATTTAGGAGTTTAAAATATATCAAAACCCTACCCCCTAGGTTCATTTAGTTTTATTCACTTTTCTCTAAATACGGCCGCCTACTGTTTTCCAGGAGCACTCGCTGGTATCCTTCTCTGTCTTTCCTCCCATCTATCTTTCATTTTCCTCCTCCCGTGCCTTATACACATATAATAAATCTATGCTTACACGCACAATACGCGAACTATTGGTCAAGTCATTCCTCCTTGTTTGTCCTTTTCTTTCCTCTAGCTTTTGAGTTATAAACATATATACTAACAGTCCTTCCTCCTCGTTTGTCCTTTTCTTCACAGTAGCTTTCATCTTGTATACATATATGATATAATATAAGAATTACCTTCCTTTATGAAATTTTAATAATTACTCTTCCCCAGTCACGTATAGCCTTATATCTATTTAAAACAAAAATCTATATTAACATTTAAAGATTTAATTTGAAAAACTTGTATAATTAAAATTTAGCATGAACTCAGACTAATCTAACAAATTAATTAAATTATAAAGGGACATGGGTCTTAAGAAAAAAAAAAGAAAAAATTTTGGAGTCCTTTAGAATAACTTTAAGGTCCTAGAGTAATTTTAGAGTTATCTCAAAATAATTTTAAAGTAATATTTAGTAACTTTAAATTGTATCTTAATATTTTTGTATGTATGTGATTTATGTAGAATCTCACTAAGAGCTTTTATTTGCTTGAATTTTTGTTGTGGGATTACTTATTAGCTTAAGGAGAATAGATAACTTGAGATTTTTCTGCATGTGTGTAAGCTCTGTGTTTGATAACAAATGCATATACCATAAAATTTAATTGTAAGAAAATCATATATTACTTGAATCTTATCAATATTGTATATGATGTGAATGTAGGTTAATAATGTTTCTTTGATGAAAATTATATATTATTTAAGAGTAGTTTATTTCTTTCAAGCATGCTTGTATATGATGTGAATGTTGTATATGTGCTGTATGCATTGGGGGATGGGTTGATGAGGAGATGATGATGTTGATGTATATACGATCTAGTGACCACATGGTTTGTCTCCATTGCGTGCATAGTGGTTGGCCTTTTTCAAAGCCTCGTTCCTCATTACTTACCTAGCTAGGTTTGTAAAGAGGGAATGTGGGACAGTGACACCTCCTAGTTGGGGTTTTTCAAGGAGGGGAGCAACAGTCTGCTTGGGCTCTGCACCTTTGGCCAAGTATATCTCGAGCACTGGAGAAGTTTGATCAGTCCAACATGTAGGCCAGACTATATTTAAGCTTATGGTTCCAGTTAGCGTAATAAGGATAGATGAAATAACAAGGGATAGTATTGGTATTGCATATTGACATGTTATGATCTATATCCTATGAAATTCTTATGTTATAACTGAATAATTCTTATGCACTTACCAGTGTTTTTAAAACCGGACTGGACCAGCCAGTCGGACCGGTCTGGTTCAAAAGAAAAAGTCATTTTAAGGGTTGAGCCGTTTCGAACCGGCGGTCGGACCGGGAATCGGATCTAGTTTTAAAAAACCAAATTGTTCAAAAAAAACTTTTTTTAAATTTTTATCAATTTTTTTAAAAATAACTAATTTTTTTAATCATTTGATATTATGTTGTATCATGTGGCTTGTTAAGTCATGATAAACTTAAAATATTTAATTTTTTTAAGTTAAATAGCAATTTCATATGTATTTCTTATATTTAAATTATTATATACATATATAATTTTTTTTATTTAATTATTACGTTACCGGTTAGACCAGTGGTTCAACCCGATTGAACCATGCGAACTGTGAACCGCTGACTTTTCCGATTCAATGTCGGGTCTGGTTCTAAAAACATTGGCACTTACTTGTGTGTGGTTGTAGTTTGCGTATACATGGTTAAACATTGGGTTACTAAGACGTTAGTGCTCACTCCTCTCTTTAACATTTTATGTAAGCTTAGTGGAGTAAGGGGAAAGCGTTTGGAACCTTAGGACTTAACTTGAGGAGTAAGCTTTAAGTTCTATTTTAGTTTGTAAAATAATCATTTGTCAGTATAAGACTTACTTGTCATTTAGGTTGAGCTTTAAAATTATTTATTATTTATTAATGACTGAAAAGAGTATTATTAGTTGAGGCCTAAGGCCATAGAAATTACTTAATGGATCTATTTAGAACAAATACTTTAATATAAGATTCTAAGTGTTGAGACATTTATTAAAATAAATATTTGAGTATTTATGGTGAGATGTGACATGCACGTTGCAGGCTTTAGTAAGCTTAGACTGTTATTGAATGGAATATTTATTTTTTTTTGTTCTTTTCTATCTACCATGGTAGACTTTTTTCTACCATGCTAGGATTGTATTTATGATTTTAAATAGTAAGTGCAAACTTTTATAACCTTTGTAGCCCTTTTTAACTAGTTAGTTGTTTTTACCAATGCTAGATTTTAAATATCTTTTTAGTAGATGAAATTTTTATAAATATGGTAGTTTTTTAAAATGTAGATTAACTCTTTTCTATCATGATCATCTTTTCAAAATAAATTCAAGAATTGGCTTTAAATCAATATACCATAGTAATTATTTGTTAATAGTTTAGATTTTTTT